TCTGCCACCCTTTCCTTCTAATCCTGTCCTCCGGTGGCATACAGACTTGTTCTGGTGGATCCTCTCACCCAGTCAGGGGACAGACCCTGGATGTGGGCAGCAGCTGGCTCCTGGAAAGGAGGCTTCCATTTTGACAGAGGCTTCCCATCAGATACCTATCCTGTGATACCTATAGTCCCCTAGGAGGGCTTGTCTCCAGGGCAGAAGTGACAGAAGTGGGGTAAGAGCCTGGCTGAGGCCTGGTTCTTCTGTAATGGGAAGAGAGCTGGAGGGAAAAAGACACCTGGTGGGGAGCTCTCGAGGCCATGGAATTCTCCCCTTACCTGTCCTTGTCATCTCCATGGTCCTTTATAGTTTACAAAACCCCTCTCTCTCCCCCTGAGAGGGAGACCAGGAGGAAACTGAAGCCCACCAGGCTATACGGGGCCTGGCGTTGGAGATGGATTCCATTGACCCCAAGGTGGTACTGGGGTTTGGGGAGCTGGGGCACAGGGTAGAGGGGCATGATGATAGAGGCCACACTCAGGCCTGGCTTCCTGGTAAGAGACAGGCCACTACAGGCCATTGTCACAGTCTCTACTAGAAGAGGAGAGAGCAGGGGCTCCAAAAGGGAGAGTCTCACCTGGGGTCGCATAGCAGCTCTGCGGTCAGGAGCACATTTTTACTGCCTGGCTTACTAAGTGCCCCCTCTCATTCTCTACCTCATGTCCAATGTTCACTTACCAGTAGTACAGGCCACTGGGCACCACCAAGAGCAGGGCCGCCCCTGGCATTGAGCTGTCAGCTTTGGTAGGAGTGAAACAGCCGCTGAAGTACATGAAGAGGATGAGGAAGAAAGGGATGTACCTGCAACAGGAAAACCAGTTCCTTTGAGGCCTGCTTCGCTGCCCTGGCGATCTACCTCCTCCCAGACTCCCACTGGTCCTTGTACTGGTTCCTTGCACCACGTGCAGTGTCACTTTATGGTTTACAAAATGCCTGGTTTGGGGGCGGGCACTCAGAGTCCCTGCCAGCCTTTCCTGTGCTGGGAGTCCTGCGCAGGATAGGAGGAGGCAGGAACATGAGGCCTGCTCCCAGGACACAAGCAAATCAGAGGCCTGCAGACTGGCTGGGTGCAGGGGTCCCTCCCATACTGCTCTGGCCACCTTACTCACTCCACATGTGTGAGGGGGCTGCCTCTCCTTCATGCATGAACCCTAAGCACCAGTAGCCTCAGCTCCGCACAGGCCAGGAAACAGGTGTACACAGCAGGGCTAAGGAGGGAGAGCCCTAAGGTCCAGGTAAATAAAAGGAGAACAGCACCTGCTGAAGGGCCGCCAAGGAACTCCACAGCCCACAGCCGCACGATCTTCCCATGCATGTATCCCATGCAAAAAGGCCCGCCCTCTCTCCTCCCCACACAACCGGCTTTCCCCACACACCTGTGCTGTCTCTTACACACATGCAACCCTCTTCTCTTCTCACGCCCCTGCTTGTCTTCTTACCCAGCCTCCCTATTCCCCTCACGTGGCCCCCACACACTCCCAAGTCCTCTCCCGCTATTTCATCCAGGTCTCTGTTCTCTCCTCCTCCCTTCCCCGACCTTCCATGGGAAGGGTCTTCTGGCAAAAATCACCGGAGGGCTGGCAAGAGGCCTGTCCAGGCCCCGTGAGCCAAGCAGATCCACTTTCCTTGCCTCAAAACAGACCCTGGAAACACAAGTGTAGGGCATATGTGACACGAGTGAGCTTACCTCACTCAGGAGTGAGGCCACCCAGGTCCAGGGCTGGCTCTGTCACTAACTAGCTGTCACCTTAGGGTCCTCCTAAGCTGGCCACAGTTTATCCTGTGTAAAGTAGGGGATTGTAACAGATGACTTACCCCCGCTTGGGCCCTTAATCTCCTGTGGCTGAGCCCCCCAATTTGTGCAAGGTGAACGGGTAAGGGAGATCTGCGAGTTCTGAGGGCAGAGCGCAAACAGCGCCCTAACACACACACACCTGGTCTAGCTGGCCCTCCTCCGCTTCCTCCCCACTTCATTCGCAAAGACCGCTGCCTGCTGTGGTGGAGGTCTTTATCCTCACTCGACTAGGTGTTGTTTATCAGCGCCACGGCCTTCTCCTCCCCCACCCGCTTCAGGCTCCCGGCGGGGCGAGGGCGAGACGGCCGCTCGCTGCCCTCTAGTGGCCGCCACGGGTACTGCCGGGCTGGGAGGAGGCGGAGGGAAGCCAGGGCCCCGGCGCCTCACTGCGCCCCAGCAGATGAAGAGAACGCCATGAAGGCATCTGCAGGCCCGAGGCCCAAAGAGTCTTGTCCTGTGTCCCGGAGGCCGGTGGCAGAGCTGGCCAGGGTCCCTGAGTAGACACACTAGCCCCATCACTCACCACATGGAGTGGCCCAGGTACTCGTCGTAGTAGTAGAGCAACTCGAAGGAGTCGATCTGAGGGCGCAGGATCGACAGGGTTAGAGGGAGGTGCTTCGGAAGGATCCCGGCCCATGCAGCCCTCTGGCCACCCTCCTCCACGCCCCGGCCTACCCCCAACTGCCCTCATTCTCTGCCTACCGGTAGGAGAAAGCCCAGGTGGGAGCCAGCCAATACGCCACCTCCTAATAACACATGAGTGTCCTAGCTTGGCGGGGGACAGTGCCCTCACTAGCAGATTGCCTTCAGCAGAAGGTTGCACAGTGATAGGTCGGGGTATCTCTTTGGTCTCCAGGACAGGCTGTGCCCGCAGAGTTTACATGTGGTGGGGGTAGCCGGCCTCACCAGCGTCTCGGGCTTGAGATTCTTGATGATGGGGTTCTCACGGACTGACAGGTGGTGCTGGTAGCCACTGAAGATAAGGCGATGGTTCACTGAGTCTCCCACCAGGTGGATGCTGGCGCCCATGATGAAGGTGATGATGCTGACATAGATCATGGAGCGCGGCAGGGTGCGGGGGGACCGCTCGATGAGCTGAGGACAGAGGGAGGCACAGCAGCATGACCCCGCCTCCATCACAACACAAGACACCCTCAGCATCCCTCTTCGCACCTGGGATGGGATGGGCGCCACCAACTGCAAAGTCGCTCACAAATTGGTGGGTCCCTTTAGTGCACCAGCCAGACCTCCAGAGTCTCACACGATCCCTGTGAACCTAACAGGGCCAAGGAAACAGCACCCCCATTTCCCAGAGAGTAAATAGACTCAGAGGGGCTGGCTCATTGCCCAGAGTCACACGCAAGCCTCCTGCTGGAAGTGACAACACAGGCACTGGAGGTCCAGGCACGGCCCTCTTCTCATCCTGGGTGGCTGGGCTGGTCTCCTGAGGAGACTCCGATTTCTGAGCGACTGGGCCTTGACAAACACAAAGAAAATGACAGGGATGGGGTTGGGTGCTTCTGAAACTAAATTATTTAACTGAAGACTCATCTGAATTGAGATTATCCATTTCCGACTTTTAGAGATTTGAAATATCTTTCTAAAAATAAAATGATGGAGATAATAGATGGTGATAGTTGTTTTAAGGGCCCTTCCTTGGCAAAGTACAAAGCTGGCCGCCCTGGCTAGCTATTTGCTCCCAGTGGCACTTCAAAATCAGGGATCTCCAGGCCAGAGGATAGAGTTCACCCTCCAATGCTTCCAGTCCTGTCACCTGGCCCCAATCTGCCTTCCCAACTGGTCTCTGACCTCTTCTGGGGCAACCCAGCCACTCCTGCTTCAGCCTCCCCAGCTGTATTATGGTCTCCCAAACATGGCGTGTCTTCAGGTCCTTCTGCCTGAATACCTCTCCCCCTTCACCCCCTGGCACAGCAGGCTGAGGCCCAAATCAAATGCCCCTTCTTGGGGAGGCCTTCTCCATCTCTCCCAGCCAGAGGCAGTCTTGCCTGTCCTTGGGCCCCTAGGCTCTTGATGTGTCCCTCTATTATAGCCTGTGTCTCCCAGGTTCAGGCAGGGAAAGCCTGATTTAGGGCACTCCTGGGGCTTGGCACCAGCTCCCTGCTGGCTGGAGGAGGGACTGAGGGTGAGAAGGGAGGGCAGGGAGCCTGGGACTGTACCTTGAGCAGGAGAAAGGGCGTGATGATGTTGTAGGCCATGTGGAAGTAGTCCCCGACGCTGGGCTTGTTAAGTGGAAACCATTCGAGAGGGAACACCAGCTGAGGAGCAAGGGGAGGAATGGTGTTTACCAGGATCAGCCCCACGAGGCACTTGGGGGGGTTAGCTCCCACCTCGTTTACCAGGATCAGCCCCACGAGGCACTTGGGGGGTTAGCTCCCACCTCCTTCTCTCTCTCTCTCTCTCCCTCTTTCTCTCTCTCTCTCTCTCTCTCACACACACACACACACACACACACACAGACACACACACAGTTCTGTGAACTCTCAGCAGCCCCGGGGGGCCACACACACACACACACACACACACACAGTTCTTTCTGTGAACTCTCAGCAGCCCCGGGGGGAAGGTGTTTCCAGACAGAGAAACTGACTCCCAGAGAAGGTACACGGACTTACCCCAGGCACACGGTAGATGCAAATCCAGACCTGACCCTGTGCCTCTCTTCTAGTGGGTACTAAATAAGTGCCCCCGGGTACCAGTCTCATAGTTGGAGGCTCTCTTGGGACTTAGTTGTGCCATCAACTTTCTTGGTGACCCTGGGCAAATCCTTCCCCTCTCTAGGCCTTGATTTCCTCATCTGCAACACCTGAAATGTGGCCCAGATGGTCTACATGGACCCTTAGAGATCTGGCACTCCAGGTCTATGACGATGACAAGCTCTCCTGACCACTAGATCCAGGTGGGGAAAAATGCTCTGTCCACAGATGGACTGCTTCCAAATCAGGTCAAGGGTATGCATTATGAAACGAAGCGAGGGAGAAAATAAGGGAGTTCTACAAAGTAGCTTCAGTTCTTTTCTACCTTCCCTGAGAGGAGGCAGGCAAGGGGCAGACCTTCCATCTGGAACGCCCTCGCTCCTAGTCTATCCTAGTGAGTCCTGGGCTTGTTGGTGGTCAGTGTGAAAACCCCTATTCAGGGTCGAAATGTCACACACACACACACACACACACACACACACACTATACTTCCAGTATCTGTTGATTGAAAACATGTATAATGACCAAAACTTTTAATCAAAAATTAAAATTTTTATTTTTTAATTCAAAAATGCCACATTGGATAAAACTAGTCTGCAGAAATACAACTCCTAGGATATAGAAATCTCAATCTCTCTCTTTCTCTTTCTTACTCATGTGCGTATCTCTATACCTTTATCTATAGCAAGATATATATATGGTGGCTGAAACACTTTTTGTGATAGCAAAATACCAAATACAGGCCAACTTTTCAACCAAACAGGACTAGTTGAATACACTATAATACATACTTACTATAGAAAATTAAGTAGCCATTAACAGAAATGACACCTTATACATACTGAGGTAGAGAAATATCCATGATAAAATAAAACAAGCATGTTGTAGAATAAGGTATAAAGTAAAATCTCATTTTGATTAGAAAAAGAAAAAAGATATATATGTATGTTTGTATGAGTAAAGAAAGGAGTCGAAGGATGTGCCCCAAACTGTCAGGGGTGGGACTGGAAAGGGAGAATCTCACTTTATATACCTGGGTACGAACTGACTTGTTACCACTATTACA